ACTAACATCAGAAATATCATCATGTAAACAGAAGACTAAAATATCATCATACTATACTTCACTTATATAACGGTTTCTTTATATGAGGCGTCTCTAATGTAGTAATATACGTTATTGTTGTAGTTAATGTTTTTCATTGGTTTATTTATTGCTCTAGGAAACTTTTAAATTAATCAATGAATATCTTTAAAAAAACCTATACCTAGAGACACTGTAGTTACTCCAGAAAGTGAAATAACATCGACCTGGTTCTATACACAGGACCGAACATTTGGCCGAATCTGAGGCATTTTTATAGCTGTTCTAAATGCTGGAATACCACTATTCTTAACTCTGAACAGAACTAAACATTCACACCTCACCTTGGAAACATTAGCTTTATATCTGATTTATATGAAAAGAAATAAGCTGTCAAAAAGTGTTAAAAATTATTGTTTTTCCTCTGCATGTTGAAGAGGCAAAACATATAATAAACAAAGGAGGACTTGCGCGAGACAAAATTACGCTGTCAAAAAGTGTTAAAAATTATTGTTTTTCCTCTGCATGTTGAAGAGGCAAAACATATAATAAACAAAGGAGGACTTGCGCGAGACAAAATTACGCTGTCAAAAAGTGTTAAAAATTATTGTTTTTCCTCTGCATGTTGAAGAGGCAAAACATATAATAAACAAAGGAGGACTTGCGCGAGACAAAATTACGCTGTTAGATATTTTTCTGAAGTAGGGTTTCACAACTGTAGCATCTACATTATTGATATTTTTACGAATATTTATTGATAATTTTAATTGTGAATTGTTCTCCACAGTCGCTTAGTTAAACTGATTACTTTAATGGCACGTTCGAAATACGGAATGACGAAGTGGTCTAGTGCTTCTAAGACGCTGCAATACTTCGGATTGAATTTTATTTCAAATTGATTTTAAAATAATAATAAAAACAGTAGTGATGTATGGTTATGGCAAAATATTAAAAAAACAGCCAAATAAGAATAACGGTGTCAGTCATATAAAAAAGGAGCCAAGTTAGAATAATTGGAGTCAGCCATATAGAAATGTGATATCAAAAATATCCAAGTTAGAATAAAGGAGTCAGTCATATAAAAATGTGGTATTAAAAACGTTCAAGTTGAAATAAAGAGGTCAGCCATATCAAGATGTGGCATCAAAAACAGCCAAGTTATAATGAAGGGGGTCAACCATATAAATGTGTGATATAAAAAAGAGTCAAGCTAGAATAAAAGGGTCAGCCATATAAAGATGTCGAATCAAAAGAGAGTCAGAGTAAAATAAAGGGGGCAGAATACGATGGTGTGATATAAAAAAACAGCCAATTTAGGATAAAGGTCAATCCTTGTAAAGATATAATGTAAAAGTGGGTAAGTTAGACAAAGTGCTGAAAACTTGACCCAATTTTTTAATTTAATTGAAACCAATAGCGATATAACAGCAAACAGCCTCTGTTTCCAAGTCAGTGTGTTGCAGTGTATAATATTTTGATATCAGTTAGGCTATTAAGTAATATCACCCACTGTTGTTCTAGATTAGCAGTTCTCCATGAATTTAAGTTTTAATGTAATGTATTTCACTGATGATTTGTTTTGAGCTGCGCATATATTGTTTTGGGGTGCTGTTAGTCTGTCACAAAACGTAGATATATGAACGAAGTTAGTGAAGCTATTTTAACCTTTTTAGAAACTATTACTAATATTTACAATTACAGTATCCCCGCCGCACGTGATGCCGCGTGCCTGCAAGTTTTTCACACCAGCGAACTTTACGTGGAATACCAGAAGAGGTAAATTTTCCCTAGAACTTGATGAACGGGAGAAGGACTCGCGTATTACAATAAAGATTACGTAACTCGAGGAACCCGCCGATTCCCCAGCGTATAATTTCAATGAGAAGTAAGGAGATTGGTTAATTATTGATCAGTAAATTTCTATCGCCAATCGATCACTGTCTAGTTCTATTTTTATCACATCTTGCTTTTAGCCATCACAGAACTAAGTTCTACATCAATTTCAACTTGCGAAAACATACTTCAGGTTCCCGCCATTTTACCGAATCGTCATCACTCATTACTAACATTTTATGACATCCACCAGTAAAAGGGTTCTACATCGGGCTAAAGACACTTGTCTTATTGTTTAAATAAAAAGGATTATAATGATAAGTTTGCAATATTTAGTAACTATTATTTAACCTATTCGTATTTTGTTTTCGATTAAAATAATTTTAGACCTTGAACACATCCCTCTTCATCATCATCAATCGTGGTGGTTCTTTCGCCTCGGACGATTATCGGGAGAGCTCAGAAACTTTTTGGCTCCTCTTCGTCCCGCTTTTGATGTAGGTGAAGGGCTGAACTTGATGTCTGAGATATGTAAAGTGATGTACTAATGTTCTTCTCGAAACAAACGAAACGGCCTTTGTAGAACTTATGGTCCTTCAGGGCGGCGGGGAGTATAAAAATACAATGCCTAGAATTAGATGTGGGAGGAAACGAGAGTGCCCCGAGAAAACCCACTTTCACTGATCAGGTGCCAAAAAGTCTATCTGACCAGTGCCCGAGTCCTGAAAGAATTAGTAACGTGAGAAATTTTAGTAACTTGGTAACACGAGAAGGAAGGAGAGTCATGGAATAATCTTGACAGGGTTTAGGATTGTCATGGGATAGTCAAATGGAACGGGATGCAGCGGAACTGGTAAGGTTTACTGGAGGGAGGCTCTTGTTCTGTGGCGGGGTTGGGTATGTCTTCGTCGTCGCTGGAAGAAGGAGCGAGTGGTTTGGGTGTCGTAGTTCTGGCCGAAGGGCCAGCGTGATTCGTCGAAGGGTCTTGTTTGAAGCGGTGGTGTATGATTGTCGGAGCCGGAACTGGCGTTGGAGGAATTAGGGTCGTTGTGAGTGGGCTCGATAGGCGGCTGGGTCTGAGTTGCTTTTTTTCCTTTGGAACTGTTTGGTGTGAGTAGTTTGATCGGTTAATATAATTGGTTCTGTCATGGTGGAAGAGGCTCAGAACAGTGGTGGGCTGGTTTGTGTAGAGTGATCTGTGATTGTTTTCTTTAGTCTAGCATTAGTTGGCTGTTTTTTGAGTAGAGGTGGTGAGGTTGGCGGAGCTATAGCGGTGTTTGTAGGAGGTGGACGTGGTTTAAGGTGTGTTTTTTCTGCTTTGAAGTGAAAGAGTGAAAGAAGCATCCACGAGAGAGTATGTAGTCTTCAGTTTCCTTGGAGTTGGTAACGATCTTCATGTAGTGGGAAGGCTTTCCACTCTTCTTTGAAATGATTCTATGGACAGCATAGATTTTATGAAATGTCTTGTTCGAGGAAGGAGAGTATTTCATCTGTAGTGATAGTTAAGATTAAAGTTGGCAGGAAGACTGTATGGAGGCTGTTAGGGGGTTGACAAATGACTGGGGGGCTTGTGTTCCATGGGCTGCATAAGGATCTGAGGTCATTGAAAGTCGTGGATTGTCCTCTTGTTCAGGTTACATGCCAATATGCCTTACTCGGCGGTAAACATCCTTTTACAGGGGTTTTCTATCTCTTAGCATTCAGCTTGTATATTCTGTTACGTTATATTTTCGTTTTGTTGCTTGTATTTCACTTATCTCAAAATAGCAAACCATTTTCGTAACTGTTTTAGTATACAGAAAAATAAAATTTATCATGAAAAATAAGACTGTTAAAAACAACGAAAAGACGTCTATACATATTTTTATTTGAAGTTGACAGTCTTTAGAATGAATTTTGTTGAAAAAATTATTTAACGTTTCATCCTGGTTTTCGTAAGTCATTAGCTTCATATTATTAAAATAAAATTGAAAATTAGTATAATATAGCGATTCTTCTTCGAGTTTAACATTCCTTCATGCCTGCATGCATTGCGTCAGCTTCATGTGGACATATGTCACACATTTCCGTATAATTGTAACAACCTCCACCCCGTAACCTCCACCCTGGCTACCCTGAATGGTTTAAAGAATGCAGGATTATTATTTCAGGTTGCTTTCCTATTGATCTGTATATTACGTTACGCATGAAGATTACGTGGCTTTACGAAAGAGCTCGCATCTAGTTATCCACGTTACCTGCGTGCATACTTCCAGTGGAGTATTTGGGTCTAAGAACGTAAGCTCACCCCAGATGTGACTTGTTTAAATGTAAGAACTTGACGCCCCTCATGACTCTCCAATCTATATCATAGTTCCCTTGAATGGTAAATCTGAACAACCAGGTCCTTCTGAATGCAATTTAAATAGTAGTGACGTGTTGACACTTTACATTAAAATGTGTAAAAATGCGAAGTCACATACTCTTTCACATATATCTAAATAATTTTATGTATGATCGAGAAACTCTCTATATCCTGTGGTCACTTCAAAACAAAACACTGACAATTTATCTCCTTGGACACAGCCTTAAATTGTTACAAAAAACTACTCGTTACGTTGTTTTCTAACATAGCCTTGGGTAATCATAAAAAAAAAACTGCTTATTGTGGTATATTCTACGAAAACCTTCGGTAATTATTTAAAAACTGCTTATTACAGTGTTTGCTATAACAGTCTAGAATACTTTTAGAAATACTGCTTAAAATGGTTTTTTAAACACAGTCTTAAATAATGATAGAAATAGTGCTTAACAAGGTGTTTTTTTAAATATAGGTTTGGATAATTATAAAAAGACTGCTTGTTACAGTTGAATAAAATAACGTAGCCTGAAAGTATAATAGTGGATATGGCATACTGAACTAGAACATTATATGTGGATACGGTATATAGTACTAGAACAAAATGTAATATCATTGAACAAAATAACGCAGCTCAGAGTAAATGTTTGATGACACATAAGATAACTGGGATAGTGAAGTTCAACGAGCAGGCAATGGTTAAATATATAATTAAAGTCAACGTCCATACAATGGAGCAGCTACCGAAAATATGTACACTGCATTCTCGGTGATGACGTCACAGAGAATGTACGCTAGGGGGCGTGTGAGAGTCACGTGTCGAGAGCTATTATCCTAGTGTGGAAATGTTGTCTAATAACAGAAGTCGCAGAATCTGATAGACATTGTTAGAACAAGAATCTTGACTTTGGGAATTTGATGGGCCTTGAGTCTATTTTAAACGACAAAAACACTTGTGTAATACAGTTGACAGAAGAATTACAATATTTGGTGTGCAAGATTGATAAAGTATTTGATCACTTTCTTTTGGCATCTTTCTTTCACTGATGTAATAAGTCATCAAAAAACCTCGACTTGAAAGGTTGTCATGTCGAGGCTGAACAACGCCAGTAGTTCGTTTCCAAGTGCTCAGTATTTGCACGGTCATGTAGACAAGCAGTAACGTCTTATAGGCTGACTTCACAACGAGACTTCTAGAACTTTACAGATAGTTTAGACATATAATAAGCTGCGTTTGGGAGAAATACACTTGAAGTATTAGTGAAAAACTTTATATATTATAGTAAGTAAGAGATATTTTTGGGAAAAGCTGTTTTCTTCGACTATGATAAAAACTATTCACTATCTTAACACAACATGAGCCAGCTTGCACTAGTACCACATGTACATATTGCCGCTATTCGCACTTCCTGGCCGGTGTCCGTTGTTTGGCTTCTTCTGTCCTGTATAGTCACAATGTTCTGCACCATAAGCTCCGTCCATCCTGAATGGTACGTTCGAACTGACCCCTTAAATGACAGTTATCTACAGTATAACCGGGGATCAGTTTTATATATGTTAGGCTTAGTAGGTGTGTGTTACCGTTGGCACCAAACTTCTTGTCATACTTTTGGCGTAAACTTTCCGTCTACAGCTTGGCAAGTGGCTTGCGTTTTATATGTAAGCGGTTGTGTATTAATGTATTGTTGTGTTGTATTAATTGTGTTTTGTTTTTGCGCATTTGGACAACGACAACGACAGGCAACTGTGTGGTGTATCGTCTATATTCAGTCAGCAGCAGGTAAATGATTTTATTTTTTGTTTCATTGTAATGTTTTCTACTAAACTGATAGAAAGCTATAACTTCAAAATTTTATGTTTGCAGAAAAGCTTACGTGTTTTATGACATCATGATTACATAACTTATAATTATCACAGAGTTAAAATATGTGTCGTTGTGTATGGTCGTCGAAAAACAGATATTTGTTTTTCTTAAAATTTTCAATTCAGAAAGTGATGTGTCTATATATATACATATACATTCTAAAATTTAAATTCAACCGTGTAGTTTATTTTATGTAGCAAAGGTATTTAAGCAATCTTTCATTGATATATATTTTTTTAAAGATGTCATTAATTACTTACTAAAATATGTAGTCGTGATAACATAACTAATAAATTACCGTTCGTCTGCCTTGAAATTGCGAGATTACCATAGTCAATTAAAATTTATTTAAGTACATTATTTGTTGGAATAAAATTCCACAGAGAAACCAATAAATGAAACGTTTTCTTCACGTTTGTTTATAATCTAATTTCTGTTTTTGAGGTCAACGTTTTAGTTGGTGTTAGGATAAAGTCGTGTATTGTTGTAGTGATATAACCTGTTTGTGTGATGCTTTTGTTACTATGATAGTAATAATACTTCACATGACTTGTGCATGCGTTATATATGTTGTCAAAATGTGTCTGAAGTTTATGTGTTGTAATGTTTCGAGTTATGTTTTGTTGTCAAGATAACATTCCAAATATTGGGGTGTTTATTTTATGGATTGTTTTGTTGTCAAGATGAGTTATCTGTTGTTAACATAATCTCATTCTAAACTATTGGTTTTGTTGTCAAGGTGAGACATCTGTTGTTAACATGATCTCATTCCAAACAATGTCTTGTTTATGAGACATCTATTGCTAACATAATATCATTCCGCTTGCTTATAGACTGGTTTTTCTGTAAAGATGAGGCATCTGTTGTTAAGTAAACATTATTAATGAAATTTGCAACATACTTTGAAAGGTTACATTATAAAAACTCGATTTTAGATTCTGTACACTGTTACTGCTTTAAACTCAGTAAATGTTATTACGACACCATTTCATTGAACATCAGTTTTATTCTTCTTCTATTTCCAGTTTTGTTCCAGACCATGGCTCTGTTGCTCTATCCATTTATTCTGACTACTCACTTTATGCGCTTACACTGTGGGCCGCAAATCAACGTGTTTCAGTCCGCCACCTGTCGTCTTGGTTGGGCCTATATGATGGCCATCACAGGAACTGTGTTAGGTTTCTACTGCCCACTTCTTGGAAAATATTCCTCGTATAATGTGTATAGATCTCACCATGCGAAATACACCAATTCATCCAAGACATTCATCAGTGACCTGCCCCTCTAATCTTTTTGTTCATCAGTAACACTTATTTTGAAAATCTTCTTAAAATACGCTATTTTCACAGAACATATTTTACAAACTTTCTGTGTATTTAAACGCTAAACAGCAGTTTCAAGGGGGTTTTCTTTGAAGTTTGAAGTATTTTTTATCATAAAGAGGGAACATTATCTCTTCTCGAGAAAAAAAAAGAAATATTCGCTAAACAATTAGTACAGTATTAAAACAAAGAATAATTTGAGCGTTTGTCCTCTTCATAGCATCCAGTATTAAGCTGGATTTCCTTCATTACTGTGTTATGCATGTTTCTAAAGTATTGTTGAAGTAATAGTTTTAATTTATTATTCTAGTGATAAAGTTTTCATTACTGAACATACTACAATTATCGTTCATTCTTAAAAACAATCAATCTACTTGATTAGTCGAAATAAGTGAATTTATTTAAAAAAGACAGGTATGTTTACGTTATGTTTTCCCAATAAACAGACAAATAAGTCCACTTGAAAGAGGAGTTAATTCTTAGGTAAAGAAAATAAGAATAAAAACAACAGGTTAAAATACTTTTATTTACTTTCCAGGTTATTGAGCAACTAATGCCTGCGTTCAACGTTCGCCTTGTAGCTTAACTAAAGACCCAATATCTCTAAGACGATCCACTCCCCATCTCTACAAACGTAACAAAATTTGAACAGCGTCAGCTGGCAGCTGGTTTGATAGTACTTACCAAACCGCCTATTCAACTGCAAACTTTATCACACGTTTAAGAGTTTAATAATTTACATTTAGATATGTTTCTATTCTTCCTTTGGATATGAGATCATATTAAAGAGTCAAATAGTCCGATGTTTGTGTGATGTTAACGCTTTAGGTGGCGTATCGTGGAGGCACAATTTAAAGAGCATCTTAAACGAATAAAGAAAACCAGTTCAGCATCTACCAACATTGCAACAACATGTGTGACGTGACCGTTAATGGCAAGACTTCAGCATTCTCTTCTCAGCGGAGAATGAAATCAACCTTGGGATAAAGGAGTCTTTACTCTTCACACAACTGAAACCAGAACTAAACGATAATTACTGTTTATCACACAAATACATCAAAACTGGGAATTATGTGACTCCCATTGTTAACTTTCGTTCATACAAACAGCAAGCGTATTATACGCTTATACATACATAGTAACCTCCTTGAGCAGTAGCCAGTAACAGCAGTACAAGTGCTTCCTATCAAACCTCCCGCTAGGAGCGCTGTGGTTAGCCAGATTACACTTTTCGGGCAGAGGGACCGTCTTAGCGATATAGTGTCTTTGACTTAACTCTTACATACGTTCCGATCGGTGCTTATTCTGAAACATATTCTCGTGACAGTAAAAGGAAGAGAAATGTCCCATCCACACGCACCTGAGAAACAGCTAATTAACTTCACACAACCCAATATCCAAAAAATTTAAAACCATACCAGAGGTAGAAAACTTTGTAAAGTATGTGTATCCGGTTTAAACTTGTATGTGTAATCATGTAAGATTGTTTTAAAGGAAGGAGAATGGGGACAGTAAGTTATTCGATGTATGTATCTCTGTAACAATTATTTTAATACGAACTACAAATAAATGGTTATATATATATATGTTGGATTACGGAATTTGTACATATGAATAATAAACTTGGATTATACAGGAAACAATTTTTTCTAATACACAGGCCTGCGATGGTTTTATTTTCTTGAAATTTTTACAGGTTTTACAGTAATTCCTGTACGCTGAAACCGAAAAGAATATCAATTTTTCTCCATCACGTACAGATTTTTCACAAAACGTCATAATGCAATACAACCCCGGTGGTACAGCTGTATGTCTGCGGAGTTATAACGCTAGAAACCGGGCTTCGATACCCGTGGTGGGCAGAGCACAGATAACCCTTTTTGTAGCTTTGTGCTTAACTACAAACATAACGCAATACATAAAAGAAAGATCACAACACGTAGTTCTGACACTAAAAGACGTAGATTTCACAAAAAGATTTTACATCAATGTTCTTCCCTTTTATTCAGTTTGTTTGTATTTTTGTTAATAAACATAATAAAAAAAAATATACATTGTGGTAAACGAAATAATAATTTGATCTAAGTAAGAGTTTTTTCTTCCCGAATTGTAAAAACTCCTTACGTGATGGAAAAAAAAGAATATTTTTTTCGAAATCTGCGTAGCTGAAGTATCGAAAATCCGTTATTAAACCCAAAACAACTTTTATGGAGTTTAAATTCGCAGGCCTGTGTTATTATTTAAACAAACTCAGACGGACTAGATAGGTGTGGTGGTGGTACAGAACTTACAGTCGTGTGGGAACTCGACACAGTTCGATAGAGTCACCACTATACTGTTAAAACTTCAAAACAGGAACTCCGTGATTATTGAGCCCTGTTAAAGGTAGCGTTTCCAAACACACAGTAGAAACCGTACCAATATCTAGATTTGTTTGTTTGCTTGTTTCAGAGCAAAGCCATATTGTGCTATTTGCTGTGTCCATCGCAGGGAATTGAACCCTGGATTTTAGCGTTTTAAGACTGTAAACTTACCGCTGGCCCACCGGGGGGGGGGGCAATATCTTGATTATTTCCTTTTTGTAACCACACATTCTAACAACCGCGTGACTGACATCTGGAGTGAAATTACTATTTAATTATATCTGTAATATTAAGGAGATGTGTATATATATATGTGCTAACTACTGAGAAGATGTGAGATTTTAGTTAGAAAACTGGAAATACTTGGCAAGAATATTTTATTTTTTTAAGCAGTATTTTCAAATTTCGGAGTATGTCTGTACAATTTTTTAACAGTTTCTCGTTTTTTGAAACTTTCTTGATCCTTTTCTCTTCCTCTTACCAAACTCGAGATTTGTTGACGTTCTTTTGGCTTCTTGTTTGTTTATTTTTGTTAAATTTTAACTTTGTAATAAATAACAGAAAATACATAAACATGGCGATATACTTTCTACGAAACTTTCACATGAAATAATTAATGAAACTTGGTTTCAGTTATGACAGCGTTTCAACCTTTTCTATCGTTTGTGAGGGTGCTTAGACGCACTTTTTTACCATTTGAAAGGTGATGATATCAAAGTTCCGTTACAGCTTCAAAACAAGACAAACCCAACATCAGCCAGTACCACTTAACAAAAGTTACCACTATCTTAGTCTCACTGAACATAGACAGTGGCCGAAAACTAGATCACCTGTATTAGGAGGGCATTTTAAACGTATATCTTTATTCATCTTTCATCTGTGTGAAAAACGGAATTCTATAACTGTATCATCGTCATCATCATTTCTTGAAAATATATCATACTTATGCAAACATGTGTGAGTAATTTAGTTTATTAATCCTGTAGAATGTACTTTGCAACTAAATTAATAACTTGTGTATAATTCAGAATTTTAAAAATGCCCATTTTTTGAAACTCAGAATTCGGAATACCATCATTTTAACTAAGAAATGTCCTGAAAATAGTGTAATAATGATTGAAGTTTTATAAAACAAGATTGATTGGTTATACGTAATTTCTCTGGATATTTGTTAAAAATAATATACTGAACTACATATATATGTGTACATAACTTTTCATTGAATATGGATAATTCCTAGTACGTTTCTAGAGTGAAAGAGAGAGGAGGTTATTTAAAGGCTTGATCTGTCTTTTCTTTTTGATCCATTTACTGGAATATTGACGAATACTATCCCCATCACTAACCCTCGCCAAAGTGTTTTTTTCTCCTGCGTTGCTATCTAAACTACGAACTCTTCCAACTGATGTATAGTGTAGAAGCTAATGTTAAGAAAAGTCTTTGAAAATTTCATTCAGATGATGAGCCGGACGTGATCATTAGTTAGCCTGCCCGGACTGTGAATAGTTTGCGGCAATTTCCGAAGTATTTTGGAACCGTAGGTGCGCTATAAGAGTGACGGTCAAATCCTACTTTTCGGTCAAACAAAGTAAGTGTAACTCTAGTCTATTAATTCAAGGTTAGGAATAGTGATTGTGTTGCTTTGAGCGAAAATTCTGAAATGTACAACATTCAGATCAAGTTGTACGTTGTACGTTTTTTTATCGAGTTCAGTTATTATAAAACTGAAGATAATCTAACAATATTGTTGCTTCTTTCCTAAACGTTTGCTATATAGTGTAGAATTTAAAGTTGAGAAAATCTTTATTGGGTTATTTCTTCACCGTTCTTGGCATTTTAAAGCAGTAAACGGTAATTCAGCTACATTTAAAAGATACAAATTGACTACTCTTATCTGCTCGAATACTTTCAAGCTTATGGTACCCTTTTGTAAGTAGATTTATTTAGGTACACAAGTGATTATGTGTTCCGGAACTCTATGGTGCCACCCAGCCTTGCGGGGAAGTCGTACAACTCGAAGTCGACCTAATCGTGTTAGATAACAGCGAAACGGGCCATTTAGAACGTGAACAAGAGGGAGATGTAATGGCAACGTGAAAGTCTTTTCATCTGTTACGAACAGCCTTGCGACACATAATACAAGTTATTCCAACACATTAGAGAACTCCCTTTCGAAATCTCCGATCACATATTGAAATCAATTTCATGTTATGACTCTTTCACTCCTTTTTATTGGGCAGTACGAATACGGAACACTGTAGCGAAGGAAATACATGTCTATATATTTACAAACTTTTGATGCTTCACTTCCTTATCATCTCCACTTCGTTTCATTTGTTATATTATCTTTACCTCCGAGCACAACCACGTGATAAGATGCGGAAATGTATAATTGGGATACCAGAAACTGCGCTAATACAATATTTGTTTATCAGCATATTAACACTTTTCTTAGACAGATAAATATATATTTAGATATATATTACTACTGAAACATTTGATACTGTTTATAATATAAAATAAATATTAGTGATCAACTATATTAATATACGAAATATATTCGTTCAATAATATTTGCTTCAGCGACTTGATAAAGATTTATGATAACATTAGTTTGTGCACTAATTTTCCTTAATTAAAGTTTCATGCTATTGTGCACTCACTTCATTTACTGACAATTTATGGTTATTGTGCACTCACTTCATTTACTGACAATTTATGGTTATTGTGCACTCACTTTATTTACTGACAGTTTATGGTTATTGTGCACTCACTTTATTTACTGAACGTTTCATGCTATTGTGAACTCATTTTATTTAAGAACATTAATTTTCAGTCCAATTCTCATTGAATCGCAATTCTAATTTCAGATTAGATCTTCGCCAAACACAAATTAACTTGTTTATTAATTGATCTGCACACGATGGGATCAAAAATTTTGGTTTTTATTGTGCTATTTGTCACTCTAAAACCATTTCTTGTCCGTTCCTTATCCATTTGAAATTATTACATATCTTAAAATCACGCTATTTACGAAAGTTATCGTATGAGAAAATATTTCCCATTTCCCCAAGTGGGACAGCGATAAGTTTACGGATTTAGAACGCTAAAATCCGGAGTTCGTTTCTCGACGGTAGACACAGCAGACAGTCTGAAGCAAACATCCTTTCAGGAAAGATCTTAGGTTATCAGTTTCAGTCCTTTATATGACAAAACTGTTATTTAACTTGCTGTTTCAGGCTAGCAATTGTAACTAAATTTAAAGATCTTTAGCATTGTTTTTTTTATCATTATCCTGTACTAAGATATCAATAACAAAACATTTTTCAAAATAATGATTTTTGTAAGCATCACATACAGGATTGGTCTGGCATAGCCAGGTGGTTAGGGCGTTATACTCGCAATAGGTGAATCGTGGTTTCGAATCGTCATCGCCGAACATGCTCGACCTTTCAACCGTGAAGCGTTATACTGTAATGGAAAATCCCACAATTATTTGGCAAAAGAGTAGTCCATGCGAAGGCGGTGTTGATTAGCTACCTTCCCTAATTTAGTAACGGAGAGAAGATGTGCGCCACCAGGTAAAATCTACCCGAGAATCACCGATGGTGCCCCAACGGTCGTAAGCGGCCTCGGTACTCACAGGATTAATATATAAAATATACACACACATTTAACATGAATGTATCTTAAAACTTCTTACCTAAGATAAACTAAATTTCACCAAATCCACACTGAGAACTATAAAGACATGGTGAAGGGTGTGTCAAAAACTGTCACAGAAATTGTTCTGTTCTGGACAGTTTGTTTGCTTCAGAACTTAGCACAATGTTACACAAGGATTAACTGTGCATAGCCGTCTCTAATTTTGAGCTGACAGACTAGACTGGAGGTAGCAAGTAACCAACACCCACCGCCAACTCTTGGGTTACTCCTGTCTGACCGATTAGTAGGATTTGACCGTCACTGTAATAACGTACCCACGGCTCCAAAGTTTGTGGCAATGGACGCGAACCATGAATCCTCGGATTCATAGTCCCGACCGTCTA